CACACACACACACACATAGATATATGATATCTCACTGTTTTGGGTTTGTAAATCATTTTGCTCTCTTCCCATTCCTACACGACTGGTCCCTTGTCAAATTGATCCTTAACCCATTACACTATAGATTCACCCTATCATACACACACACATATATATATATATATATATATAGTTTACCTATGTGTATGTATATGTATATGTATATGTTTATGACCCTTCATTCATACCTATCCCAATCATTGAGGTCACATTGCATTGCATGACAAAACATGACAGGAGTTCTAAGAGTATATAGCTAGAGTTGCATTTTAGTAGCATGAAAACTAAAGGAATTATCTTGGAGTAAACCTTATTATTCTTTCTAAGTTAAGTGAGAGTAGTAAGTATTTTCTCTTTTATAAGAGTTTGTTGGATTCAAATTGTGGATTCAAATTGTGTCTTTTTCGAATGTTATCGTTAAAAATTAAGTATGTCTCAAATTTTTTCAACCGTAACATTATCCAAAATTATATGGATTGAACCCTTCATAAATTATGAGCGTTTGACTTTTCGTAGAGATATGAACGTATGAATCTGAACAATTGACAACGAAAATACGAAGGAATCATTTATGTCTAGTGTGTTTGTGGTCGAGAGTTGGTAGACCCAAGCAAATGCTGATCCAAGTTTTCTATGCCATGTTTGTAGGAAGGGGGGGGGGGGGGCCTCCCGGGTGGGTGTAGGACAGTTTTGTGCCTAAACTTATGGCCGGGGAATTGGGTAAAATTTGAGTAAGAGAATGTGGGACGATATACGATCGCCAAACACTTAATTTACTAGTGTATTTTGAGTTATGACGATTAAGTTGGTTTAATTTTGAAAAATCACGATGTATCCGGGCGAAAAAAAAAAAAATTTCTTTGGTGATTATAATTTTTTAGTTGAAATACTTACAAAAACTCGAACTAACATTTCTACTTCCAAAAAACCAAAAGGAAAAACTTATACTACATTATGTAACCAATATTTTTTTTTTTTGTAGGTGATTATTGAGTTGCTAATAAAATGAGACCAACAAGTCCACTTGGTTCGAAATGTAATTTAAAATTGGATTACTAGAAATGGGCTCAAAGCCCGGCCCATACCCGTGCCCGTGTCCTCGTACATTGTCTCAACACCAAGCGACGCCGTTTTGAGCAGGAAAGAGGGATGGAGGAAGTTGGAGTTTACAGGGGAGACCGGAGAGGGTGTACCAGTCGTAAACATCTTGCTATTGAAAGGGAAAAGAGAGAGAGTACACCTACGGCCACGAGAGAGGAGAAACACAACAGATTGGGGAGAGAAAGAGAGGAGAGGAAGAGAGCAGGGAAGTCGTAGCGGAACGACAGAGGGGGAGAAAGATTAGGGTTTTCTTCTCCGATTTTGGGGAAAGTATCCAGGGAAGGTACTTTTCTTGTCGGTTGAAGGGGTGAAAGAGATATTTAAGTATTCTTAGCGCTGCAATCGTTTGGAGGCCTTTTGGATTTGCGTAGAACAGGCAGGTTGATCCTCATAAGATTACTGGATGATTTTGAATAGGGTTTTTGATGCATTTTAAGGGTTATGTGAACTTATGTGTTGTTATATTTTCTCCCCTGAATTTCCTGTGCAGTGTTTTCGTCGATAGATTATTTCCCTCTCTTGGTCATATAGTGTCGCTGTAGCTCCTCCTCTACTGAATAGCTTAATTATCATTAAAACTGAATCCTTATAATAGATTGGTGGTATACAGGCGTGAAGGGGGGGATAAGGGTTACACGATTGGATTGAAGTGCATATTTGTAAATTTTGGTGAGTAAGATGGTTAAGATCAACGTGTTTAATTCGTGTGAGTAAAAGGATAAATTGCAAACTGTTTTAGAGTCTGAGTGTAAATTTTGCAAACAGTTTACTTGCTCATGTACTTTCTGCATATATGTTTAAGGACAAATTGCAAACTGTTCTTGATTGTGCCTTTTTCCATGGCTTTAATTTTCTACTAGGGATGTACTTCAAATTTCTTTGTTCTTTCTTTTATTTTGCTTTATCTTTTCCCCTCTTAGTAATGGTAACATGTTTAGAATATAAATAAATTTTTTTTAGCGATGTTCAACAAGCCTATTCAGATGATGGTTGTCTCCCCTTTCACTTTGTATTATTTTTTGAATTGCATCTTCTCTACATTAGAGCAGTGCATATTCAGGTGACTGACCCCAGTTCATAAGGGTCGGTGTTGACTCCATGTTTTGAGTGACTTTAGGTAGCCTTGCATTGTCCCCAGTCCAAACCATGTAATTGATTTTCAACGAAAGGACTGCTATGTGATGTCCAAGTGGGAGGTCAGTTAATTTTTAACCGAGAATTTAACAGACTAGCTTAATAAAAAATATAATAAAAGGCTGATAGTGAATTTTAAAATTTAAAAGGTCAACAAACAAAATAGGAAAAGTGAGAAAGGTCAAATATCATAAATGAAGTTAAACCTAAAAATAATTGCACTCTTCAGGTGGCATTGCTAAGCTATCTTTGATTCATAAAGGGAATATGAGAGATATATATGAATTTTCTTTTCCTGTATCGTGATCATAGGACTATGCAGGGTATGGTGTTTACTTGAGCCTCTTTGAGCTTGAAATGGAGCACGTTAGGATCAAGCTGGAGCATGTTTGAGATCGAGCTTTAGCTTGTTTGAATCAAGTGCGAGCTTTATTAACCTTGGTTTCTTACTGAGTATGAGCTCTTTAGTTTTTCGTACAAACCGAGCCTCATCCAAGAGAAAATCTCTAATTGAACTTTGTGCCTAAGTCAAGTCTAGCGCAATTTAAGTAAAAATTCAGTTAAGAGCCCTAACACTCAGGTATTCAGATTAGATTGGTTCATTTCCATCCCTAATTGGTGGTTTGGATACGTGTGAGTATCATGTGTAGGTTACAAGTTTTGGTTTGTTTATGATTCACCTTCAAGTTTTTCATGCTATTCTGATTAAATTTTTTCATTTTTCAGATTTCTGTTTTGCTTGTTACATTAAGCTTGC